CTCCAAGTGGGTATACAAGCATACAACTTTCTCCCCCCCAAAAAAAAGCATACAATAAAGCTTATTCAAACTCATAGTCTTTGGTCTCAAAACGCAACCTTAAATGTAAAAATCCCTATAAGCCTTTGAACAATCTCTTAGCCTCGATTGGATGTGGTGTGTCTCAATGTCAACCCTTCCTAAATTGTTGGCCCCAAAAAACATGTTTTTTCCTCCTCAAACGCCACAAACACACACAAAAATGCCCAAAAAATGTCGTGTTCTTCCTTTAACAAAGTTTCTTGGGAAAGTTGTACACGTAAATTCCAGCCGCCTTGACTTAATGAATCTCAATACTCTTCGTAGGGACTGTATGCATTTGAGATGCAAATTCAAAGAGAGATATGTGTATTTGTACCCACAGATAGCGACATATACCCAACAAAGATAGGTAAGGATTTGAATAATATCATTCATAAAAAACTGTCTTTTTAACTAATTCTTAACTCGTAATCATTGGTTAATAAATGCACGATATGTTTTTTTTGTAACACAAACCAGTGTATGCTAAAAGTAGAGGTGTTAATAAAAATTTGATGACCCGAAAAATTCAATCAAACTATCCCGACCTGTATCGTTCGGGTTGGGTTGAATTCAAATAAATGAAAACTTCATGAATTGAGTTCGTTCATGGTTTTCTCTTCAATTAGATTAAGTTGGACCAAATCAACCCTAATTTATCATTAATTTTGATTATTTATTCTCCGACAACTCTTACAAATAATTTTTAGTGATTTTAATTAACTATTTGAAATTGAATAAGTAAATGTTTTATTAAAGACAAAAATTGAATAATTGATATGATCCATCCAAATCAACCCAATTAAAAAAAAAATTAGGGTTGTGTTGAGTTCATTATGAATAATTGGGTTGAGTATGAAAATATCTCAACCTAATTCACAAACACTCCTAAATTTTTTAATAGTTATGAGTACGTAGTCAGGAGGTAAGTGGTATTCAAATTCGATTTGAACACATCAGTATCAACCAAGAATAATACTTACTTTCTCGTTGTTTATTTTTTTATGACCACGAGAGATGAGAACGTAAAAGGATTAAGAGAAGCAATCAGGGTAAAGAGAAGATTTATTGTAACAATCCAAGTCCACCGCTAGTAGATATTGTTCGCTTTGGTTCGTTATGTATCGTCGTCAGCCTCACGGTTTTAAAACGCGTCTATTAGGGAGAGGTTTTCACACCCTTATAAAAGTATTTCGTTCCTCTCTCCAACCAATATAGGACCTCACAATCCCCCCCCTTTGGGGTCAGCATCCTCGCTGACACACCGCTTAGTTGGTGCATAGCTCTGATACTATTTGTAACAACTCAATCCCACCACTGGTAAATATTATCCGTTTTGGCCTATTACATATCACCGTCAGTTTCACAGTTTTAACCCCTTATAAAAAACTGATTCGTTCTCTTCTCCAACTGATATCAACTTACTTCTTCTAAGCATCCGCATGCAAATACGTTCGTTATGTGGGTGTAATGGCTACCAATTTGGAAGTATATTCCTTGAAAGGGCAAACAAAAGATAGGAATAAGAATTGAGATAAAAGCAATTCAAAGTTTGAAAGAAGAACGTTTGAAATTGTTATTCAATGAATGTTCCAGCCGGACAAGGCAGTTCAGAAAAAGTGGTAAAGCTTTGACAAGTCCACGCACTACAATATGGATAAGTCAAAGTGATAGGTAGTGAGTGTGTTTGTGGTTGGGAGACCACCACACTTAAACAAGTGGACCAAAGTATTATCTTTATTAATTCTCTCTACGTTGTCTACTAATTAATTAGGTTTAATTAATATCTTTATCTCGTAACGTTCAACGAGACGAAGTAAGTATTTTAAACGTTAATGTAATCCTTATTTGTTAACGAACCCAGTTCTTTAGAGTATTATAAAATAATTATGAATTTCTAACATGTTCATAATTCGATCTAATAGTCAGTAAAATAAACCACATGCTTTCAATCTTATATCATATTGTTGCTTACCTTGTTCGGAAGCTCTCTTAAAATTCCTCCAAATCTCCTAAGTTTACTATAGAATAAGAAATATATATATATATATATATATTAGTACCATTGAAAAACGAATTAAAAGTGGGTTAAACCAATCCAACTAAATCGGTTGGGTCGACCCAACCAGGTACATGTTTTTCTCTGCCTCATTTGTTTTCCTTTGTCTATGAATCTTCAATCAAACCCTTGTCGATGTTAAGGTAACTCAAGGTGGCATACATATCAGCCAATCAACGGTAGACTTGAGGTATTTCGAATGAGGATGTAACATTTAGTTAAGAAGATACGAACCCTTCTGAACTTTTTTTTATTTATTTTCTGAGTAAAATAATTTTTTAAATATTTTAGCGATTAAATTTGATGATGTGATAGAAGAGAAAAATTCTTAAAATATTTTCCGAAAAAGAAAATAGTGAGAAAAAAAAAATCAAAGTTAAAGGCCAAAGTTCAATGAACATTTTTGTAATTGGCCTCTTTTCTCCATATTAGGTAGCTTATTAATGTCTAATCTTAAAAATTAGAGGAGAAAAAAAGAAAAGAGAGAAGAAAAATGGGAAAAATAGAGAAAAAGAGGGTTTGAGAGGAGTCGTTTTTTGACCGAGCATCCTTCATGAAAATTGTTCAATAGATGACACCTCTTCGATCTAGGCTCGTGAAACACTAGTATTGGTTAAGAATCAAGAAACTAAATTAACTCTGAGATCTCGTACAAAAAGTCCTAGAAGATAGAGTCTAAGGTTTAAACTATCTAGATGTCGTAAAGAACCTAGCTAACCTCTACCGTATTTAGAAAAGATTAAGGAATCTTACCAAATTCAGGTCGCTTCCTCTACTCTATGGTACATTAATAGCACTATCTAGTGGCTTAGATTTGACCTAATAATGCTCCTGCCGAGCAATAGGTATTCAAAAACTCATATTGTCGAGTTTAACCTAAATTGGTTAGATAGCATAATGCAATGAGGCAATTTAGGTGTCCCTATCTTGTGTGGAAATGGGTTAAAGGCCTTCTGAACAGGGTTGAGGGTCCTTAAACCTGTTTTGAGAGAGGATGAGAGACCACACAAGTATACTTAGCAGCTAGTCGATACACCGATTCAGTTTGACTTTATAGTTCATAGTCCATAAAAGGGTAGCCAACTAACCTTACACAGATGATATTCAGAGAGATGACACAATAATGTCCTAAGAGATGATTATGATGAGGTTGCACCTCCCTAATCCAAGAAACCGATGATTCACTCATATGGCAATATAAGCTAGCTAAGTCTGGAAAACAGAAAAGTTGGTTCACCTCAGAGCTCAGATACGACATCCACTAGATCCCAGTCACCAGAAAAGGTAAACAACTCTCAGACCTAGATTGAACTGGAAAGAAAGAGAATAACGTCCAGACCCCAATTGAGTTTGTGACAAGCAAGAAAACCGTTCGAAACGCTGAGACTTCTTAGAAGCTACGAAAGCTTGTGTTAAAAAGATTCAATCGAAAGAGGAGTCGATGAACTAGTATGACATGATTTAAGATTAAACTTTTTGTAAGTTGATTCTAAATTGTACTAACCTTTAATTGACTAATCTTATTCTTCGAGTGCAGACTCGTGAAGTAGTCTTGAAACCAAACCACTCTAAAAACGTCTTGTGTCGTTTTTCTTACCATTAATTATATTCCTATCGTGTTCTAGCTCGCAATAATTAACCAAACCTTTATACATCGACGTTTAATCCTCCATTAACGTGTGTGCGAATGATCGTGCTTTTTTGTTGGTACATTATGTCATTAAACATAATCAATATTAATCCCTTAAAGCTTGGTTGGTCAAAAGTTTGATAGATCTTTTACTCTTTATAGCTTTTGAATATAATTAACAAATCAAAAGTGTAATCAATAGCCTAAACCAACAAACTAATTAATCATTTGATAAAATAGATTTTTATGTGACTCTAAAATTTTAAAATAGACAATTTTTTTACACTAAGGTTTCTATACAAATAAACGCTCTTTGTCTCTCCGTCTCTCTTTCTCTCTCCTCGGTTTTTCTTTCGTTTTCTTCTTGTATCAACTCTCATAGACACTTCACTGACCACTGACCCAAAAACGTGTTCATCATTTGCTAGATAGTACTGTTAGTTTTGACCCTCGATCAAAATATATGAAAACAAATAACTAAATCATAGTGAAATATACAATCCAAAAGGAATCGGAAAGAAGCATAATAAAACATTCACAAGCCCTTGTACCGACTCTCACAGACACTTCACCGACCACTGACTCAATAGATGTGTTCATCGTTTGCTAGGTAGTACGGTTAGTTTTGACCCTTGATCAAACCACACTAAAACAAATAATCAAATCATAGAAATACACAATCCAAAAGGAATCAGAAAGAAGCCTAATAAAACATTCACAAGTCCTTGTACCGACTCTTCACCAACCACTGACCCAATAAACGTGTTTATCGTTTGCTAGGTAGTACTGTTAGTTTTGACCCTCGATCGAACCACACTGAAACAAATAACTAAATCATAATACACAATCCAAAAGGAATCGGAAAGAAGCATAATAAAACATTCACAAGTCCTTGTACCGACTCTCACAACTCTTCACCGACCACGGACCCAATAGACGTGTTCATCGTTTGGTAGGGAGTAGTATTAGTTTTGAAAGTCAAAGGTTAGAAAATATATATTGAAAAAGTGGATAGAAGAGATAAAGAAGACAGGTGGAGTAATGAGAGAGGAGGAGAGATAGTGACCCATAGAAAGAAATGTAGAGCATTACGTAGAGAATTGAATCCTGTCGGCGAAATGGATGATCCAAGAGAATATGAGTGCCACCCTTCACGTGGCCCAACATGATTTAAGAAGTGACTCAAATTGACTGCTCTTTGCCTTTGCCTTTGCCTTTGCCTTTGCCTGTTCTCTTCTATATATGGCCTTCTTTGGACCTTCCTTCTTTTGGTATCCCCTTTTCTTTCCCTCTTTGCAGCCTAAGCTACCAATTCCATTCTTCTCTCCTTCAAAATTCTGTCTTTGGGTCATCTTATTTTGCCTAACCAAACAAGGATATATTATGGGCGATGATGGGGAGATTACACACAATCAACCCATAATCTCAAGGTTTAAAAGGGTCTGTGTTTTTTGTGGGAGTAGTGCTGGCAAGAGAAATTGCTACCGTGAAGCCGCCGTTGAGCTCGCCGGAGAATTGGTAGGTATTTCTAGGCTTTGGTTGGTTGGCTATAATATATATATGTGGGATCTCACATTGGTTGGAGAGAGGAATGAAGCATTCCTTATAAGGGTGTGAAAATCTCTCCTTATCCGAAGTCATAAGGTTGATGACGATATGTAACAAGTCAAGGTGGATAATATTTGTTAGCGATGGGCTTGGGCTGTTATAAATTGTATCAGAGCGAGACACTGGGTAGTGTGCTAGCGAGGACGTTGAGCTCCCAAGGGAGTGGATTGTGATATCTCATATCAGTTAGAGAGAGGAACGAAGTATTTCTTATAAGTGTGTGGATACCTCTCTCTAGTTCAAGTGTTTTAAAAACCTTGAGGGGAACCTAAAAAGGAAAGCCCAAAAAGAATAATACTTGCTAATGGTGGGCTTGGACGGTTAAAAATGATATTAAAGCCAGACACCCGGCAGTGTGCCAGCAAGAACGTTGAGCCCCAGGGGGGCGGATTGCGAGATCCTACCTCGATTAGAAATGAGAACAAAACATTCTTGTAAGGGTGTAAAATATACTTTTTTTTTTTTTTTTTTTTTTTTTTTTTTTGAATA